AAGTAGCAGGTTCTTGGCCGGCCGGATGGCAGCATGTGGATGTAAACAACGTGTGTTTCGCTATTAGATCTCCATGTGGGCAGGCAAAATCTACATCGAACTATGTGAAGAAGAGAAGAACAATAGAAGATTCTAATATTGACCTAGGGCCTGTTTAGTTCCCCGGATTTTCTGAATTTGGCACTATGTAAAAAAAAGATTTCCCGTCACATCAAACTTGCGGTGCATGTATGGAGTACTAAATGTTAACGAAATCAAAAACTAATTGCATAGTTTGGTTGTACTTTACGAGACGAACGTTTTGAGCCTAATTAGTCAACGATTAGACAATTATTACCAAATAAAAACAAAACGCTACAGTGTATCTACAGTAACGTCGAATCCGGCCTCCAACTAAACGTGGCCCTACTCTACAACTGGGAGTAATTTTGTCAGGTACCTTTTGTTGATGGTACGGTATGGTAGATTATTAATACACAGGCGATGGATGGGAACATATAAAAGAGGCGATTTTTAATTAAAAATTATACATATAGTTAGGCAAAATGGATATTATCTATCTAAAATATATTTATTAATTAATATCCAATCCCACGCAGCTACGCCATCATCATATCGTCAGCTCTGTTCGCCTACAGACAGACAGACAAGCTACTCCTGTAGTATATTGCGTTTTTAATCGTTGAAATAAACGGGGCACAGAGTGCTGGTCTGCTGGATTCTCAACGATTAGTCCAACCGACAGGCCAGGAAATCAGCAATGCTGTTGCTGTTCGATTTGATATCTTCGTATATGATTTCTTCGTGGAGTCTACTCCTAATTTTTTTTCTGAAAGTGTAGTTGGTACTGGAAGACAAAGATAATAAAAAAGCAGCTAAATCGAAGGCGTCCTTGAGTAGTTCCACCTATGAGAGGAGGATGCAGTATTTTAGCAGACAACCACTGCTAGACAAAGTTTAATGGAGGCGGGCCAAATTGATTTTTAGAGAGGGTATTACAACCGCCTCCGATCAAAGGTTACGGTTAATGGAGGATTAATGGAGGCGGTTGCTTTACCCGCCTCCAAAAATAAATTAAAAAACAAAAAGGAAAAAAAATCCCGAAGCCCAAACCGGGCCTGGGCCTAGATCTGGGTTGTGCGCCGCCGCTACCGCCATCGCCACCGGGGAGCTCGATCCGCCGCACGGGAGCCCGCGCCGGGGGAGCTCAATCCGCCAACGCATCTGGGCATCGTGGTGGAGCCCGCCGCTGCCGGAGGATCTGCCCGAAGAGGTCGGATCTGGCCTCCCCGTGCACCACCGTCGCATGAGGATCCGCCCGCGCTGAGGCCGGATCCGACCTCCTCGTGCGCCACCATCGCCGGATCCGCCCGCGCCGGGGCCGGATCCGGCCTCCCTGTGCACCACCATCGTCGGAGCCACCCGCGCCAGGCCGGATACGGCCTCACCGTGCGCCACCGTCGCCGGATCCGCCCGCGCCGGGGCAGGATCTGGTGGAGGCGGTAGAGGAGTGCCGCTGGATCTAGTGGAGGCGGTAGATCTGCCACCACGATGCCGCTCGCACAGGGAGAGGGAGGGAGGAGCGCCGCCACGCAGGGAGACGGAAGGGGAGCGCCACCACGCCGGAAGAGGGAGGGGTGGGAGGGCGCCGGGAGAAGGAGGGGGGAGGGCGTCGCCTTGACGGGAGAGGGATGGGGGAGGGCACCGTGCTCTCGGGAGAGGAGAGCCGCGCGCTCGGGGAGAGAAGGGCCGCACGCTCGAGAGGGATGCGCCATGTGCGTAAGGGAGGGAGAGGAGAGGGCAAGGAGTGTTGGAGTGAAATGTGAGAAACCCTAAGTTGCACTTATATATGAGCCCGGTAATATGGGGTTTGCTAGGCTCGGTGCTGGGCCAGGATTTTAGGAGGCGGGCCTTATAGTGTGCCCGCCTCCGAAAATGGATTTACGGAAGCGGGCACTTTAAGACGACCGCCTCCGAAAATAGAGGTTTTTTGGAGGCGGATGCATTAAGGTGTCCGCCTCCGTAAATTGATTTTAAGAGGTGGTTATTTTTTGACCACCTCTGTTAATAAAAACATCCGCCTCCGTTAATCGCCGGGTATTTTAGGAGGTGGTTGAATTTTATGACCGCCTCGGTTAATAAAATGGCACTGCCTTGCAAAATCATTTGTGTAGTAGTGAACAACATGTGTCATGGCAATTAGCGGTACCAAAGCACGCCGTCTTCTTTTGTGAAAACTCTTGGTTAGGAGAGGGCGGTAGGGGCACAGGACGGGTGAGAGGTGGACGGAGTCGGTGCGGCGGTGTCCTCGTTGCCGGCCACGCGCGATGGTCGAGGCCAGCTAGGGGAGGTGGCTAGGATTAGGGTTTAAGCTTTGGGCTCTCCAATGACCTCCGGGCCTAGATGGATGGGCGGGGGCGGTGGGCGGCCGGACGGCGGAGGCGGTTCATGGGCAGCGAGAGACAAAGTAGCGGCGGCGGCGCTGGCCGGGCAGTAGAGGACATCCGGTGGTCGGGGTCGTCGGTAGGGGCAAGGGATGGTGAAGCTAGAAAGGGCAAGGTAGAAACAGCGGGGTTGATTGTGTGCGGCGCAGCCGGCAGCAAGGACGCCACTGGTTGGGGCGGCGATGGCGAGGGAGTATGGCTCGACGAAGAAGAAGAAGAAGAATAAACCACGCTTTCGAGCACACGCGCGTTGCTTAAAGCCTCGCTGGAAAGGCAGCTGCACGATGCAGCTTGCGCTTTTGTTTCACCTCCGCATGCTAGATGGACAGATGGTAACTACTGCATAGGAGTACACGTGAACCTGAACAATAGGATCGTCAAGGAACACCAAGGGAGGAAAAGGAAGGCAGTTATTTTTCCTTGAGAGCACGTGTTTTAATGTCTCTGAATAAATAGATTCGTAGAGTTATTTTGAGTCAATTTTTTTTAAATTTTAATTGATGTAGAAAAAAGTCAAGATTTAGGACATCAAATTGAATTATGTCACAACGTGATCGCTTTATATCATAGATGTAATTACTATTTTTATTAAGATAGTTAAACTTAAGATTCTAGGAATTGATTTGGGACATAGGGTGGTAACATGGTGATCGTGGATGGTTTCTTTTTGGCAAAAGTTTAGTCCTGTCACATCGAATCTTTGATACCAATTAGGAGTATTAAACATAGACTAATTATAAAACTAATTACAAGATTGAGGCTAATTTACGAGACAGAATCTATTAAATCTAATTAGTTCATGATTTAACAATGTGGTGTTATAGTAAATATTTGCTAATTATAGATTATATAGGCTTAATAGATTCATCTTGCTAATTAGTCTACTTCTATGTAATTAGTTTTATAATTAATTTATATTTAGGGGGTGTGATTCTTTAGTCGCTCCTAAAATTTATGTCACATCGAATATTCGAATGCTAAGGACTAAACATGAGCTAATTATAAAACTAATTAGACAGATGGAGGCTAATTCACGAGACGAATCTATTAAGCCTAATTAATCCATCATTAGCATATGTTCACTGTAGCATCATATTGTCAAATCGTGGACTAATTAGGCTTAATAGATTTGTCTCACAAATTAGCCTACATTTATGTAATTGGTTTTGTAATTAATCTATATTTAATGCTTCTTATTAATATCTGAACATTCGATGTGATAGGAATTTTAGGAGCGACTAGAGAAGCGTTAGTCTTCTTAGTTAGTATTAAACGTCCGACGTGACACGACTCAATTCTAGCACCGTATCCCGACAAAGTCGTCCGATAAATCATTTGTAATTAATCTATATTTACCACCGTCGTCTTTCTGGCCATCATCTGTCATCTCCAATGTTTTAAATAGCGGGCTAAGCCTCTTAGCGGCAGCCTCTCCAAAAGGCTAAGAAAGGCTATAGCGAGCTAAATAGCGAACTAAGCCATTTAGCGGTGAGCAAAAAATATGTCAAACATCATGTAATTTTACACATAATAAAGATATAGAAGATGAAAACATTACAAATACCAATAGGGACAGATAGTTCAAAGTCTTACTAACACATTACATTAAAGTTCGTAGTTCATAAATGATACATCATACATCACATAGGGACATACATGAGTTCAAAGTTCATACAAAGGTGATAGACAGTTAGACAATGGAATTAGCGCAATATTAGCAGCTAAATGAAAGCCCAGGCCAAATAGCAGCGCTAAATGAACCACAATTTAGCGGAATTAGCGCGCTATTAGCAGCTAATAGCGGGAAAAATCGTTTAGCGTTAAAATCCTGATAGCTTAGCGTTGTCTTCTAGATCCGCTAAATAGCGCTATTTAAAACTTTGGTCATCTCTCGGGCAAAGCGTGCGGGTGCGGCAGAGGAAAGAAAGCGAAATCCGGTCCCACGCCGGCCGCACGCAACCACAAATCGCAGGCAGGACAGGAGGAAGGGAGATGCGGCACGGAAGTCCAAGGGCCCCTGCCGCCCTGCGGCCGCGGCGGGGGGACACGCTCCCGACAACCCGGCACGGCCACGCGCGCCACGCTTTATCGCCTGTCCCCTCCGACCCGGTACCCTTCTCCCCCTCCCGCTCCCGGGTTACGCGACGGGCGGACCCGCTCCCGGGTCAAGCACGCCACCAGCGGCCAGCGCCCCAAGCCCGGCGGCCGTCCAAGTCGCGGACGAAGCGGCGGCTAGCTGCAGCCTGCAGGGTGAGCTGAGCGGCACGGTGGCCAACCGGCAGCATGCATGGCCCACAGTCCCCACACGACTATACGTGTCACAACCCGACTAGCCGTCGCCCACGGATTAAACCCCGGCCGGATGACCGGTAGACCAGTGACCGCACCCGATTCTCGCCCACCTATAACCACCTTCTCCTCCAGCCTGCCCCCTCCCGTCCCGTTCCCGTCTCGCCGCCTCGTCACCGACGGAAAGAGAAAGCCGCCGGCCGCACGCGACCGGAGTTGTAACCACACCAGACAAAGCCCCAACCCCCTCTTCCGCCAGCCTCAGCCATGTCGGAAGGCCCGGCGCGGAGCTCCACGGAGTCGTCCTCCGCGGCGTCCTCGGGGCTCGACTTCGAGGACACCGCCCTCACCCTCACGCTGCGCCTCCCGGGCTCCGACCCCGACGTCCGCAAGCGCGCCGCCTCCACCTCCAACCCCGCCGCCGGCCGCGGCAGCAGCAGCAGCTCCCCGCGGGCCTCCGAGGCTCCGCCGGCCCCCAAGTACGTACGCTCGCTCGCGAGGGACGGACGTAGCTACGCTCGTGGCGGTTCGTTGATTTTGGGGGTCGATTCGGGTCTGATTCGTTCGTTTGGGTTTGTGATCAAGGGCGCAGGTGGTGGGGTGGCCGCCCGTGAGCCGGAACCGGCGGAACGCGCTCCCCAGCAGGGGAAAGTTCGTCAAGGTGGCCGTGGCCGGCGCGCCGTACCAGCGCAAGGTGGACCTCGAGGCCTACGCGGGCTACGACCAGCTGCTCGCCGCGCTCCAGGACAAGTTCACCTCCCACTTCACCGTCCGCCGTGAGTGCATCGTCCGAACTTTTCTGCTCTGCCTTGTTCCTTGTTGCCTGAGCATGATGGATGGGTGGATATATGCAGGCCGGGTGGGGAACGAGGAGATGGCGCTCGTCGACGTCGTCAGCGGGGCAGAGTACGTGCCCACGTATGAGGACAAGGACGGCGACTGGATGCTCGTCGGGGACGTCCCCTGGAGGTGAGTTTTCACTCGGGCGCCTTCCTCGCTATTATCACTTCTGCTGCTACAAAGATAAAGATCACATCGTTTAAATTCATCTAGACAACTTATGACTATGCTCATGGATTGGTGCAGTGTTGGATCAGAGTGTGGTGACATGTGAAATCTGGAATTCATAGGTTTTTTTGTGCCTTTTAATGAAACATGTGTGAAAGCGTAATAGGGATTGTGGAATACGTGATGTATTACTCAGGAGCCAATGTTGTGTACATATAGGCACGATGGGGAGCCGGATACGGCAGGCCCATGGGCCGTGACACGTATACAATCTAACACCCCCCGCAGTCGGAACTAGGAGCACCGCGAACATTAAGACTGGACCTAAACTCCACAAAGACGGATGTCGGAGTCCCTTGGTGAAGATGTCAACGTACTGGGATGTCGTAGGGACATGTAGAACACGAACTTCTCCAAGGGTGACGCGGTCACGAACGAAGTGTGATCAATCTCCACATGCTTGGTCCGTTGGTGCTGAACGGGGTTGGTGGACAAATAAACGACACTGACATTGTCACAGTACACAATGGTAGCTCGCCGAAGAGGTGAATGGAGCTCATGAAGGAGTTGGCGCAACCAGCACGCCTCCACAACTCCATTGGCGACAGCGCGATACTCGGCCTCTGCACTGGATATGGAGACTGTTGCCTGACGCTGTGAAGACCAGGAGATCAAATTGTTGCCCAGAAATACGCTGTAGCCAGAGGTGGAACAGCAAGTGTCGGGACAACCGGCCCAATCAGCATCAGAATACACAGTCAGATCAACAGGCGAGGTGCGAAAAAGGTGAAAACCAAGATCCAGAGTACCCTGAATATAGCGCAGGATACGCTTCATGGCGGTGAGGTGTGGCTCTCTCGGGTCATGCATGTGAAGACAGACCTGCTGGACGGCGTAGGCAATATCAGGACGCGTGAAGGTGAGGTACTGAAGGGCGCCGGCAATGCTGCGAAAATGTGTCGGATCGGTCACCAAAACACCATCAGCAGATATCTTGGCGTGAGTATCAACGGGTGTGCTGCAAGGCTTGCAGTCACACATACCAGCACGGTCCAAAATATCCAGCATATACTGCTTCTGAGAGAAAATAATCCATTAGCTCGCCAGTTAGGGTCTGCCAAGGTAGAGCGGAGGGTCTTTGGCAAGGGAGAGAGTGTCGCCGTATGAAGATTCAGGCGATCGACTACCTGAATGAAGCCAGACTTGCCTCGAGTCCGCATGTTGTGATTGTTGACCACAGGCACGATTGACTGAGGCTGCGTAGCGGCGGTGCGCCCAGCTCTACTGGCAGCAACCTGGGACGGAACGTCCACAGGGGCAGCAGAGCTGGACGCCGAGGAGCCGTTGGCGCCACCTGGACCAAAGCCTGGCTCGATGGTCGGTAGCGCACTGGGTGCAGCCGCACTGCCCGAGCCAGAGGCGGGCAACGGACTGGGCGCGGGCAAGGGGGCACCAGGCACGGGCGATGACGCCCCAGGTGCCGGTGCATGAACGCCAGGCGCGGGCGACTGAGGCGTGCCGGGAGGATTACCTGCAACCACAGCACTGGGCCCAATGGGCATAGTGGAATTGTTATCATCGTTCAAAAAATCCAAGGTGGTGGGATCCGAGGGTGAGGTCGACATCTCGAAAAAGGGGAACATGGACTCATCAAATTTCACACGACGAGAGATGATGATCCTTTTGGAGTGGAGGTCGAGACATCGATAACCCTTGTGATCGGAGGAATAACCGAGGAACACACACAAGGATGAACGAGAAGATAATTTGTGCGGAGCTGTGGAGGACAAGTTTGGATAACAGGCGTAGCCAAAGACCTGAAGGTGAGTGTAGGATGGATGAGTGCCATAGAGAGCAAAAAACGGTGTAAGGCAGCTAAGGGTCGCACTGGGGTGACGGTTAAGGAGGTAGGTGGCAGTATGGAGGGATTCAACCCAGTAGATCGGTGGAAGGCTGCCCTAGAAAAGAAGAGAGCGCACGATATTATTAATAGTGCGAAGGGCGCGCTCGACTTTACCATTTTTCTGAGAAGTGTATGGGCACGACATACGAAGGATGGCGCCCTGTGAGAGGAAGAACGTGCGGGCCGAAGAGTGATCGAACTCACGGCCGTTGTCGCATTGGATGGCCTTGACAGGAGTGCCAAACTGCGTGCACACGTAGGCAAAAAAGTTAGAAAGTGTGACAAAAGTCTCAGATTTAAGGCAAAGCGGAAATGTCCAAGCATAGTGGGAGCAATCATCAATAATAACGAGATAATATTTGTAACCCGACACGCTAGCAACAGGGGATGTCCAAAGATCACAATGTATTAAGTCGAATTTATTGACAGCTTGAGAAGTAGAGGTTCCAAAAGGAAGACGAGCATGACGGCCCAATTGGCAAGCATGACATATGTGATCACGTTTGGGTTTATTACACGGAATAGCTTGAGAGCTAATAAGCTTGGACAAAGCATCGAAGCCGAGATGACCGAGACGACGATGCCACAGGGTGGAGGTGGAGGCAGTAGCGGCGAGTGAGGGTGTGCTGCTGGTGGGCAGGAAGAACGGGTAGAGGTCACCCGTGCTATTGCACCTGGCAATCACGCTCCGCGTTTGTAGGTCCTTCACAGAAAGGCCAAAAGGATCAAACTCGATGGAACAATTATTATCTGTGGTGAACCGGCTTACAGAAATTAAGTTCTTAATAATGCTAGGTGACACTAAAACATTATTGAGAACAAGAGGACGATGCAGTGCATTAAAAGAGAATGAACCAATGGAAGTAACGGGCAGCAAGGCGCCATTACCGACAATGATAGATGAAGGACCAGACAAGGAGGGAGGCCGAGGAGAGGAGAGAATACCAGAGTGGGCGGTCATGTGAGTACCGGCACCAAAATCAGCATACCACAGATGAGGGACGCCTGCTCCCAAGACCCTCCAGACATGGGGTTCCAAGGCGCCAGCGTCGGTGGTGTGCCTGATGAAGAAGACGAGGATGCCATGGGAGCCCCTCCCCCATACGCGAAGCCTGGGGGCGGGGCGAACGACGGCGCGAACCCTGGGGGTGGCGCCGGGTAGTAGGGCCCGGGGTACGGCACCATGTTGAACGCCGGCTAGGGCTGTTCGTACGCCGTGGGCTGGGGGCGCAGCAGGTGACCAGGGAGGCCGCTGTAGCCGTGAGGCCATAGCTGCACAGTGCCGGACGACGCGCCGTGGGACGGAGCACCACCACGGGCCGCTGGTCGTGGATCGCTTGGACTGCCGCTGGACTTGCCGCCGTGTCCACGACGGCGGGAGTTGCGCGATCCGGAGGAGGCGCCGGAACCAACGGGTGCCGGTGTTGTCAGGCGCTGCTGCGTCGGCGCTGGTGTGCAACCAGGGCCTGCGGCGCTGCAGGAGTTGCGTCGTCGGTGGTGTCGTTGAGGTCGATCTCCTCCAGGAGCAGGAGTGTACGCGACCCGTCGAACGTGGGGAATGGCCGCTGCATCTTCATGTTGGACACCATGTGACGAAACTTGGCGTTGAGGCCACGGAAGAGGGTGAGGACCAGCTGTCGATCGCCGATCGGATTGCCAAACTCGGCGAGGGAGGCGGCCTTCGTCTCAAGGCGGCGGCAGTAGTCCGTGATGGACAGGGCGCCCTGCTTGAAGGTGCGGAAGTCGGCCTCCAGCAGTAGGGCGCATGAGACTCACGCTGCCCGAGGAATTTGTCCTCGAGGTAGAGCCATGCCGCGCGGGCGCCAGGTTCCCGGATCATCAACGATTGCTGCAGATCGTTGGACACGGTGTCGTAGATCCACGTGAGGACGCAGCAGTCCATGGTCGACCAAGCCGATCGGTCGGGGTAGGAGTCGTCGGAGAGTACATGAAGCTTGAGGTTGTACTTGCCGAGGATGATGAGGAAGAGGGAGCGCCAGCAGCCATAGTTGTTGGCCGGTTTCTCCAAGGTAATGGGAACCAAAACCTTGATGTTGATGACGGCGATCGCCTGCGTGTGCAGGGTGGCGTTGGTGGCTTCCTCGGCAGCGAGCTTCTGGTTGAGGGCCGCATGGGCCTCCTCCTCGAGGCGCTTGGCCTAGGCAGCCCAGGCGGCGGCAGCAGCGTCGTCGTCGCTGGGGCCATGACTGGATCGGCAGCAGCAGCAAATGCCTGGCGAGCAGCAGCAGGCAGCGGACTGGATCGGCAGCAGCAGCAGATGCCTGACGATGGGATCAGCAGCAGGCAGTGGCAGGCGACGTGAACAGAAGCATGCAGTGAACCGGATCGGCAGTGATGGGATCAGCGGCAGGCGACGTGAATAGCAGCATGCAGCGAACCGGATCGGCAGCAGCAGCAGATGCCTGGCGATGGGATCAGCAGCAGGCAGCGGCAGGAAGGTGGCCCGGCGAGGATCTCAGTGGCGGGCAGTGGAAGAGCCGGCGACATAAGGTCAGTGGCGGCTAGGGTTTGCGGAAGCGCCACGCGGGAGCGAACCGTCTGTGATACCATGAAAGCGTAATAGGGATTGTGGAATACGCGATGTATTACTCAGGAGCCAATGTTGTGTACATATAGGCACGATGGGGAGCCGGGTACGGCAGGCCCATGGGCCGTGACACGTTTACAATCTAACAATGTGCAAGGCACCTTCGCGAAAAAAGTGGTTAAATTAAGTAGAGTTAATGATCGATCTGGTTGGTGGCAGCATTGGACACTCTGGTAAATAGGGCTTAATCCCCTCAATTAGAAATTTTGATTGTTTGTCGGCGAAGTGTTCCACTACTGGCTAGGGAATCATGATATATATGGGTCATTGTTCTCACTGCTACGAGGTATCACTTGGGTTATTGGTTGGATCTTACCGGTATCTGTTGGTCTTGAATCCATAAACTGCAGAATTTAGCATTCTTGTCTTGTAGTTTTATTTGCCCTGTGGATCTTGGAGCCTCTTGGGATACAACTCTAGAATCCAGCCTCAAAATATTCGAGCTGAAATTATTGGCATCACGATAAGGCCTGTAAATCTGGAATAGTCTCTAGAAAATGTAATCGACATTAGTTACTAGTTCTGTTCTAAATGCAATATGTTTCCTTTTATTTGCTGAGATTGAGAGCTTCAAACATATGTTTAACTCAATTTATCCAGCTTTCTAACGGTGGGCAGACAGTGGGGAAACTGTTCATGACGGTTTACTATTTGGGCTGGTGCTCCCATTTGAAATTTTTTTATCCAGTGGTCGCTTGCTAGTAGCCTAATGATGGGAGTTCCCTTGCTGATTCTTTTGCATCATATGCTTTTCTTACATAACTAGGCTCAACAGACTTTCCTTTTCTTATTTCTCAAGTAACTGACTCGTTGAATAGCTTTGATGTATTTGTCTTGCCACAACTAGAACAGCATGTGCATATAGGTATAAAAAAAGAAGGAATCAAGTTGATTGAAACTGCTTTGGATGAGGTTGCACTGCTTGCTTGTTTTCGGCATAACCTTTTGGGTTAAGGCTAACATTGGTAGTTTTGTTTGATTGTGCCCAACCATTTTTTTTGCTTTTCATAATATCTTTTGACAAACGTTAGATTCCAGCTAGATGTTAGGAATACTTGCATAGGTCTAGGAGATCAGATTCCTGTCTAGGGAGTTGGAGCATGCCTCGAACCTAGCTGTTACTTTTCCATGTACATTTTTTTAGTTAGATTTCAACAAACCAGAGCATCACAGGAACATTGAGATGGCTTGAGGTTGAGGGATATGTTCTTTACGCATACTCCTTTTTTTTTTTGGCAAAATATTCCCTCAAAGTTGGAGACTTTGAGTCCAACAAGTCATCCTGGATGATTCTGACCTTCCAGCTTTATTTCTGATTACAGAATGTTTGTGGAAACCTGCCAGCGTCTTCGTCTGATGAAAAGCTCTGAGGTGGTTGACTTAGGTGCGTACTTCCAATCTTCTGAACCTCGTTTTGTAGAGCTGTTGTGGTGATTGGTTGGCCACCACACAATTGCCTCCAGCAGTTTTCCTGGATGAGTCTAATATTTCCTATTCTCTGCAGCACCGAGAGCTGCTGAATGAAGAGCATGTCCACACTCCTTTGCTACAAACTGCTTCAAAGGGAAAATGGCCTCTTTTGCTTGCTGAGGCAGTGAGGCTCTTCGTGTGTGTGTCAGAGAGAAACGTGTACAGCCATCGACTTCTACTTTCGGTTTTGGTTTCAGCATGCTCTTGAGTTGAGAAAAGGTTGGGAGCCTGTAGGCTGTAGCACCCCCGGTTCGTGGTGTATATGGTTGTCATATATATAGATGGGGGTGCAACATGTTTATTTATGCTTTTGAATACACCCATATATTATTTGTCATGCGGGGAATAAGGCCAGGTACATGGGCGCCCTCTGTTCTTGCCTGTTGCTTTGCTAGCTCGTCGGATCATGTCATGTGATGCGCAATGCAGGTAAGGCATCTGGCATGGTTAAGTACCAGGTCTTTTTGTGCGCGTTGTGTAATGGTTTTGCTCCAAGTTTTGTGTCTTGGACGCTGCAGATTGCATGGTCCTCTTGTTGTTCTTGCCTCTACTTTCAGTCTTTTCTGCATGTTTTTTGCTCTTGGTTCGATATCTCAGTATAGAAGCCACATCTCTCAAATATATGATCATAATCATATTCATATGTATTAATGTATACCCATTTATGATTTACCAAGCTCTGATCGAAGGTGCGATGCACGCCACGGCCATGATTCGTTGCACATACCACGTAGAATTCCATAAGCACTTGCCGACAGAGCAAGGCAGTGAGGTTGAAGCTTTGATCTCCGATTGATTATATTTGAGCTGAATGGGAATTGCATAACGCTACCGTTCTGTGCCTCCAAGTGCTGGCTCACCCGACAACAGTAGTGCATTTGCTGGTAGGTTGCCAGCGTCGGCCGCAGCGTGCCGTGCCGGTGTAGCGTGTACATCGTGATTGCCTCTGCGTGAAGGATAACATCATACATGTCGGGACCCGTGAGCACCAGGCCGCGTGCTACTGAAGCCTTTTAATATAACTGCATAAACATGATGCACGGTGAGCTGCAGCTGTCAGAAAACGACTGTTCCCTGAAAACAGATTCCGCTCCGGTGCTGAACTGCTGATGCTGATCAAGCAGCAGGCTGTGCAGGCCTCCCTGTTCTGTCGTTTTTCCTTGACGAGTGCAGGTTGCCACGTCATCTGCCACGACGGATGAAGAGATATTTTATTTGGCTTCTGATTTAACGCAGCAGCAGGGCACAAGCACGATCGATGGCCTCATTGGCCTTTTTCTTTTGTCTCCTTTTCGCTTTGTGCGATCGTGCGTGAGCTGTCGAAATGGGCTGTCACCGCTTTGCTCAATGGGGAGTTTGTTCGGTTCGGCAGCGATGGACCAACAACTGCAACTCAATGGTGCTTCCTTCCCTATCTTCCGGAGGATAAATTCCCCTAAAAAAAATCTTCCGAGGATAAATAAATTGTAAATTATTAGCATATAAAATAAATCAAATAAAAGAATCTCTGAAGTGTGGCTAGGGCTTAGGTGTGGCAGCCATGTCTACGTTTGCCCATGATGCATTGTCGTTTTGGTAAACTTTTTTCTTTTCATTCAGTTTTATCATGTAGGGCTAACCCCTTCTTTTTTCCTTTTATCTTATATAAAGTAATAAAGGAACAAAAAAAGGTTGGCATTCCGCATTCCGTTGTTCATTTTCGTATTTTCGCACGTGGAATGGTACCCAAGGATTTAAGATGCTTAACTTGGCTCAGAATATAAATTGGTCGGTATGTACTTGTACCCTCTAAGGTAAAAAGATGCGCTGGTCGTTTTTTTTTTCGTTTCCATTGTCTCACATCCTGTTCGCTTGATCGTTTTTGTGACTTATAAGCCGGCTAATGCTGTTTTGTTGTGAGAGAAAAATATTGTATCATGACTGATAAACATGGCTGATATGATCAAGCGAACAGGGTGTTAGCCATTGCAGTATTATATTCAAAATCTTAGCTTATAAACTTACTAGAGAATTTTGACATAAATCTACATACATGTGACTTTTATATTTTCATGCTAAATGCTTCAAAAGTTGCTGAGAAAAGTTACAATTGCATCAAGTAATCAAAATGAAAAGGCCTAACTTATCAACTTTTCTTCTTCTTTTTTTTTTTGAAAGAAGCGGCTGGAGAGGTGCCTACTGTATTAAAAAGCAGGAGAAACCGAAAAGGACAATGTACAAAGTTATCTGTACAAGGCGAACATAAGCTGAGGAAAACAAACCCATTAGCACAAGAAGAAAACACACAAAGCTTACACCCTCGCTACAAGCTTGGATAGATGCTTGGTGCCTGCCGCAATCCAAATCAAAGTGACTCCTCTCTTTGATTTTTTTGGAGCAACACAAAACTTGGACAACCCGTGCAGTAAAAAAATCCTCATGTTCATCTCTTTTTACAACTCCCAACACTAGAATGGGTAGTAATCACAGTCGTCGTTAGCTGAACAAGGGACGGTTCCCATGGCAAGCCACCATTGTTAGATTGACTCAGCCCATCCCTATCTTATTGGGTGTGCGAAATCAAGTCTTCTTCTTAGCTGAACAAGGAAAGTTCTCAATGCCTAACTACAAGGCCACTCACTCCCCATATGCATGCGAAATCAACTCTTGTTTTGATGTGCAAGAAGGTAAAAGAGGATGGAAGATATGTGCCACGACAGGAATGACTGAAGCCAATTGTTTTATCTTTGTGGAATGGGAACTCTCTAAAGCAACTTCAACAATTTGTGAACAAATGTCATGACATTTTTAATTTTGGTTGAACCACATGATTGTTCGTCAACCTGTTATGCTCTTAATTGCTGGCTACAATTTTAAACATCACTTTAGATAGTGGTATAGATTTTCTATGGCGCTCTTGTTCTGTTGTATATGGCTTTGGGCTGTTTGGTTGTGTGGAAGCAAACTAGCGTGGCTCGAGACATGCAAATATTTAGGGATGACAAAAACAAATTTCATTTCTCGCGGACATGCCTTGTGTGGGACGAAAGGTATGCTTGGATTCTTTGCCGAGCACTACGTAGCGTAGCTGAGCTAGGAACCGGAGTGAACAATGTGTTTGGATGCCGGACTAGTTGGCCTTGATTTTTGTGCAGACAATTTTTTTTTTTTGCCGGCTTAGGTGAGCGAATTAGCTCTCCTAGCTCGGTGGGAATCTCGTTGCTTATGCTAGGTGAGACGAGGACAGGCTTTGCACATGACCAAGCACTGCCCAAAAAATGAGCAGAGGGAGGATGTGTCCAAACCGGTGCTGAGCTGAGCTCACGCATATGTTTAGTCTCATGTCGTTACGTCCTTACGAGCCATACTATTTCAGCGAATAAATAATGCTTTTATATTATAATAAATTAGTAAATAGTACTTTCAGCCGTAACTTTTCAGCAAAATGAACGTGGCCTCAGTTTATATTGTCTGGTTTGATGTGAACCAAATGTTTGGCAATTGGCAGTACTCCGTAAGAAATTTCTGCGTGAAATTCAAACATAAGTAGACACATGGCAACGGTCGATACATCACGGTCCATGGAGATCGACGGCTGAGAATGAGATTGGGTGGAGCAGGCCACCCTCGTCGTCTTCCGTACGCCGACCCGACACCGAGCTGTAAACTCGAGCTCCCCCACACTGCGAGTGCGCCGAAAACTCCAAAAGCTCTGCGCTTTCTGTCCCCCTCCTCCTCCTCTCCCCGAGATCCCATCCATGGTGGCGGCCGCCGCGCCGCGCCTCCGGATCTGAGCCCCTTCCAGCCACCGCGGGATATTTTCCCCAGCGCTCCCGCTTCGCTGGTCCGACCGCCGCACGGTTCTTTGCCGTGCAAGATTCGCCGCTCAGTAGCGGGTGGTCGGTAGTTGTCCGTGGCTCGGCCGGCCATGGGTTCCTGAAACGGGTCTTTGATGCCAGCTGTGGGCGCCCACGGTCTCCTGCCGCCATGTGGAAGCAGTTTCTTGGCAAGATCTCGCGGAAGTCCCCCAAATCCGGCGGGGGCGGGGGCTCGCCGCCGGCGAAGTCCCCGTCGTCGCGTGGCGCCGCCAATGGGGCGGAGGCGGAGCTGAGCGCTTCGTCGCCGGCGGCCTTCCCCGCGCCGTCCGGGGCGGAGACCAGGGAGGACGTGTTCCTCCGCAAGCTCAACGTCTGCTGCGTGGTGTTCGACTTCGCCGCCGAGCGGGGGAGGGACTCGCCGGAGGTGGAGAGGAAGCGGCAGGTGCTCGTGTCCCTCGTCGACTGCGTCTCTGCGGCCGAGGAGCCCCTCACGGAGGCGATGCTCTCGGCCTGCGTCCGCATGTTCGCCATCAACCTCTTCAGGGTCTTCCCGCCCAAGCTCCGCTCTGGCGCCAGTGCCGCCACCGACGAGGACGAGCCGTTCTTTGACCCCTCGTGGTACCACCTCCAGGTCGTGTATGAATTGCTCCTACGGTTCGTCATGTCCCCGGCCGTCGATGTCAAGGTTGCTAGGAAGTACATGGACAACTCCTTCATCTCTAGGCTTCTTGACCTGTTCGATTCTGATGATCCTAGGGAGAGGGAATGCTTGAAGACAGTGCTGCACAGGATATATGGGAAATTTATGGGCAATCGCCCGTTCATTCGCAAGGCTGTGAGCAACATCTTCTATAGGTTTGTGTTCGAGACAGATCGCCACAATGGGATTGCGGAGCTACTGGAGGTGTTTGGGAGTGTGATTAGTGGCTTTGCAAAGCCATTAAAGGAGGAGCATAAGTTGTTTCTATGGAAGGCATTGATTCCACTTCACAAGCCGAAGACGGTTGGAGTATATTTGCCACAGTTGACATACTGCATTACACAGTTTATCGAGAAGGAACCAAAGCTCACAGGGACTGTTATCAGAGGCCTCCTGAAGTATTGGCCGGTGACGAACAGTCAGAAGGAGATGATGTTCTTAGGTGAGTTGGAGGAGGTCCTAGAGTTGACAGAAATGGCAGATTTCCAGAAGTGTGCGGTTCCCTTGTTTCGCAGGATCGCACAGTGCCTGAATAGCTCTCATTTTCAGGTAAAGTTTCTTCCTTGAATACTGATTTGAGACTGTCCTTTGAACATACGTTTATTTAGTGTATCTTGTTGACAAGTATGTCCACTATTGCTAGCCTTAGGTAGAAAAAGGCAGTAGCCATGGGGTTGTGAGTTGTGACATCTCATCTCTGTCTGTTTTCCTTCAGAAGACTAGAAATTGTGAATTATTTTGATAGTTAGGTTTAAACAAGACTTGACTTACTGTTTTGCCTACATGTGTGGAAAATCTTATCAAGAAACAAAAACAGGACAACATGGCTGAATTAGCCATTTAGAATTTATGAAGCATCAAGCTGTGGTGAGGAAAATTTCGTAGTCATTTCAATCCACAAGGTTTATTTATATTTGGGCCACGCCTAACTTGCAAGGGAAAATGCTACATAATAGCAGTACATCCCATATTGGGAATGCAACATAGATATATTCTACCCTCTAGTGGACAACTAGGAAGCCCAAAGCGCAAAGCTTCCTAGTTGGTTCACTAGAGGGTAAAACATTCAAGAGGAATTTTATGAGAAAGAAGGACATTATGATCCAACTTGTAAGATTAGCATTACAGAACCTTTTTACTTTTTAAAATTTATGATGTGATTAATGTGCAGGTTCAGGAACAGATCTTTCTTATTTTGTAGGAAATGAATTTTTCTATTTTGATCACATATAGCCTTATGGGTGTAGCTATGATATACTAGACTCAAAATCAAATACTAATAATCCCAAGTAAATTCCCCAGAAAGTTTAATCTATAAGCAAATTTGTTTTTCTAGCTATCCATTGGAGAAGAGCTTTACAGGATGCTTTGCACAGCATGACATCTCTAAACACTATGAAACAATATGGCAAAACCAGTCGCTACTTTTATAATTTGAACACTAAAGTCTAGCAGAAACTTAGGAATGTTCTTTGTTTGTAACAGGTTGCTGAAAGGGCCTTATTCCTGTGGAATAATGAACATTTGTTCGACCTGATCTCCCAAAACCGCCAAGTTATCCTGCCAATCATCTATCCAGCTCTGGAGAGGAATGCCCGTTGGCACTGGAACCAGTCAGTTCTAAATGTTACAATGAATGTCAGGAAAATGTTCTTTGACATGGATGAGAGATTGCTGTTGGCTTGTCAAACCAATTTCCAAGAGGAGGAAAAGAAGCGAGCTGCATCTGAGGAGCGAAGAAGGCTTGTATGGGAGCACCTTGAGAGGAATGCTGCATTTCATCCAGTAACCGGAGACATTGGCTTTGCAGTTCCTCCTACATCTGCTCCTCTGGTAGCTCCCACTATGACATGATTAATCATGGTATCAGATGTAATTCATACTGCTTGATTGTTAGCTAGGTATGGGTGTTTGGTGTTGCGCAAGGAATTTTGTTGCCTTTGTAAGCCCCTTGTGCCAAGTCTGTAATTATTAGTTGCTGGTTTGACAATGAATGCTTGATTCTTTGGTGTACTCTCAAGATATGGTCATGTCTTTCTATCCCAAGATAATGCCCAGTTCTACTTGGCCGGAGGGGGTGAAAACGTGTTTCCTTGGAAAATTTCTACTGGAGCTGAATAGCTGATAACGATATATTGATGTATTTTTTTTAATCTTTTGGGTTCTGATGGATCTACAAAAATGTCAGGTTTGTTGGGTGAACATGAAACTGAGGTAAGTTCATACCACTTTTCACGATTTGATAAGTCAAATGTGTTTTTTCCTTTTCTACTTGTAAGGGATCAGAAATCTGTATTTCACAACTAGAATTGTTCTTGGAAATTGTAAGTCATGTCAATTCATGACATGAAACAGTTCTTCCTAATTAATATTTCCACCTTCACTTCTTTGCCCTTGGTCCATGACACGAGGAAATCACTATGCAATTTTTAGGTACAAAATAGCAGTGGACAGTGATAAAGCCTAAAGGGATTCAACATGGTAAATGTCATCCAAATTCTGTCATACAAGATTTGGGGCCTACCAAGCTAAAAAGCTAGTTTAGTTAGGATGTAAAACTAGGCTAACGAAACATCAATGCTCAAATTATGGACTTTCCACTCCAGACTTGTTTTTCATGAAACTAGGGCCTTGTTTAGTTGGCGATTTTTTTTGGAAAATAGTATTGTAGCAATTTCGTTGTTATTTGTCAATTAGTGTCCAATCATAGTCTAATTAGGTTTAAAAGATTCGTCTCGTGAATTTCGTCTAAATTGTGTAATTAGTTTTATTTTTTATTTATATTTAATGCTTCATGCATGCATCCAAAGATTCGATGTGACGGGAAATCTTGAAAAATTTTGCAAAATTTTGGGAACTAAACAGGCACTAGAAAAGTAAACAGTAGAATAAATGAGTATTAGTTTTAGCTCAAAATGTGGTGGCTTCACTAGATTTAACTGAAAAAAATAAACATTTATGTCACTAAAAGTTTACCTAGCCCTAGTTTAATAACTTTTATCTAATTAAGTTATGAAATATGAAATCATGAATTTTCTAACTCAAGCATGTTTTAGGTTGGGACTTGGGAGTACTCAAATTTCACTCTCCAGGCTCATATCAAGATCCATTCTCCAGCTTCATCTTCAGCGAAGGTGAGTTACCAGAAAAGCACCAGTTAATAATGGATGGGCAAATCTGCATTAAGTAAAAAAAACATCGAGTTAATTATTGTATAGAGATAGGTTTTAATACTAGGTGTCAGAAATCTTTGATCTTGATCTAATTTTAGGTTCATACATATTAGCTCACCCATAAAAAGTAACTCTTTGGTTCAAGATTCCTAAAACTGAACTTTCAAAAAAAAGATTCCTAAAACTTTTCTAGAAGATGTATACTGAAGAATGTCCTGTAATTATCCCCCCTCGTCAGCGCGACTTTCATCCTTCCTTCGTCATTGCAGATCAGTGGATGTTGCACTCTTAAATGATGGCAGTTGGTCCAGATAACAAGCATGGTCCCTCATGTAACCACCTGCCAGTGAGGGACCTAGCTTCACTAGAGATCATATCATCATTTTCCATCCAGCTATGAGCCTAGTGCAGACTTTCAGCCAGATGGATATACTCACGAGGAAAAGGCTGTTCGTCCTTGCATCTGTGTGGATTTGTTTCCATCCAATTCTGATGTGACCTGTCGGGCTATCGACAGAAGAGATTTAGCTGTTCGTGCAGGGTTTGCTTGGAAATTTAGGTTTAATAGTTACTACTTCAATTAAAATATTTCCAGTCCTAAAGAAAAGTATCTCTAAGCATCTGAAAAATTAAAATTCTGAATCTGAAATAGTTACGCTGGTTATAATGTGCTTTAGATATTCTATAAACTATAAACAATCATGTTTCGTACCATTAGTTGATTTTTTTTTCTTGTAAAAATAACAAAGCATGGTTGATTAATATAAGCAATTAGCACAAAATATTGCTTTCATGGTCAAGTTTTCCTTACCCCGCAGGGCACTGGGATGGTGCCTGGAACCAGCGTCATATGCTAGCTGGAGCTGAAAACCCTATAAAGAAGGCTGAAGGTTCCACACAGACAACTAACAGACCCTCTGTGCAGCTCCCTGCTTTGTTCAGGGCACTTCTCTTCTATCCTTGCAAATTGGAGATACTTGAACAGAGATCTCCATATAGTGAGCAAGATGTATAATCCTCCCAGTGCCCAGGACATGTCCTACTACGATCATGTTCAGAAGCGCCATGAGGAGAAGGGCTGCCTATATGCATGGTACCCGCTAACCTTTCTGTTGTTTGTGTTCTTCTCGATTACACTCACTCTGTTATATATGTGCTTTTTTTTTCTTGTAGTGTTTTTGTTAACATATTTTTCATGATACCCATGATGAAAATTTAAAACGCTTTGAACTCTGAAACTTGTCTTCATTCCTTTGGGAAACAAAAGGAAGAATGTTGTATTGTGACTTGATATTAAAAGGTCATCGGATTGAAGTTTCACAATATTGGTTGGTTTAGTTGGGTAAAAAAAGTGTGGAGAATAATTCACAAGTATATGGATTCAACCAGTCGCCAATATTTCTCAGAATCTGAATACTATAAAGAAGATTTCTGTGTCACAAGATCAGCCTAACATGCACAAGTATACATTGGAAAGATCAAACTAGGAAGCCATATGCAAATTACACCTTACTCTTCATTGAAATCAAATATTCGCAGTGTCTAGTTTTCTACTTTGATATTGACTTGGGAATACCTGCTTAGGAATTGGTAACTGGTATCCAGCAACAATTTTACAGAAAACAACGCTCATGTTTTTGAAAAGTGGCTTGAGTTTTCAAAAGAGAAAACCATGTATGGTTTGGGGTTTCCAGAACAATTGAGTAAACATGAACTGGGAAGATATCCCTTGGAAAGCAAACCTGGATGGAAGGGAACATACAGTTCCCCTAAGAAAACCACTTCAAATCTTCTTCCTGAGGGAGGGAATAAGCTCAATTCGTCGAATACTTTTAAATTTTTGTCATGACATGCTAGCTTTCCTCTTGTTCAAAACAAAAATCTGTCTCCAGTTAGGCGCTACACTCCTTTTCGATCATGTGAGTCCATGGCATGCTAGCTTTCTTCTTCTTTAGAGTCTTTATTTCGACACATCGATTCATCCCTTTGTTTAGCATCTGGCTCCCACTCGCGGAGTACTGGTACAACACCACATTCCACATGTCCCAGCAACGCTCGCCATTCGAGGTATTGTATGGCCACCCCCCTCGCCACTTTGGCCTGACTCCTTCGATGGTATCTTCTGTTCCTGATGTGGACTCCATGCTGACCTCCTGCTCCACCATGCTTGCGGCGGTCCAACATCACCTCCACCAAGCTCAACAACGCATCAAGCATCAATCTGACAAGCGTCGGTCCGAGCGCTCATTCGAAGTGGGCGACTCGGTCTACCTCAAGCTGCAACCGTACATTCAGTCGTCTTTGGCGCCCCGAGCTCATCAGAAGCTATCCTTCAAATACTTCGTCCCCTACGTCATGCTGGAGCGCATTGGCAGCATCGCCTACAAGCTCGCGCTGCCACCGTCTTCATCGGTCTGTTATAAGCTTAGGATCATCTAGGTGTAGATTAGAGGGTGAAACTATTACTGTTTGATTCACATTCGACCTATAACATGATACAGAAAGGGAGACAGTGAGAGAGGGAGATGTAGGAGTGGCTGACCGTCGGCTTTGGAGGAGGATGAGCCATCCATGTCGAGGTCCAGTCGGTGGCGTCATCCGGCGGCGGTGGATCCGGTGGCGGCGGCGTCGAGGTAGAAGACGCAGTGGAGTTTGGAGTGGTGGCACTTCCCGCCGCTTCAGCACTCCCTTGATCAGTAGGGTTAGAGTAGTAAGTGGAGATCATGATGGCTGTCATGAACCTCGTGTCTTTGCCCTGGCCCCCACCTCCCTCTATATTGTGCTGCGCGACGGGGGCCCACCAACCTTGGTTTAGTTGGATGCCCCGATCAGGGCACTAGATCAAGGCCCTACTCGACCGTTGGGCCGAGTCGAATGAGATCAACACTAACAATCTTCCCCTTGATCTCACATCATACTTAAACTCAACTTTCTTTATCTTTTTTCCATTCCATCACAGATAAGTGCATAGAGCGTGCTTCATCATCACGGTCAGTTGCCATTAGATTTAACAGCTATAATGCACCTCTCTATTTTGAAACAGATACTCAACTAGACCCTTAGTATTCAGAAATCATAGGCTTTCCCATAAACCCATGTCGACTGTGTGTTCTTTGAACGCACTGGGTGGTAAGCCTTTGATAAGCGGATCCACAAGTACTTACTCGGTACTTATGTGCTCAATGCTTTCAAAATGATTATAGATTTTCTCCTTTACAACATATAACTTAGTGTTAATGTGTTTGGCAGCACACTTGACCTGTTGTCTTAGGAGTTAACAAACTTTAAATGGTTATTGTTGTTGTCTACCATTGTTAAATCCCGGTACTAATTCCCTTAATCTCCTTTTGTCCGTTCCTTAAGCCTCATGTCAAGCTATACTATGATATGCATCTGTTTCTTTGGAGTTTTTCACAATAATACTCCAACTATGAGTGTTATCAACTGCTGTGGATTTCTCTACACATCTCGTCAAGACTTAACATTTGTACCCTCAACTATTTGAGAGTACTTGTTCTTTCTTACTTAGCATGGGGCCTATGATTCTTTGCAAAATTGCAAGATATTTTCAACTCAATTCCAATGATCTATATCTAGACTGGACTTCTGCCAAAATATCCCGGATACGTAAACTACGTCAGGGTAAGTTCTTACTTGTACTTTTACACTCATCAAGCTTCT